ACTCAGCATGCCTGGGCGTTGTAAGGCCTGTATTGCATCGTCCGGGAGACATACTCCATATTAATCATCATACTAACCATGTTATACTGTCTTTTGTAAATAGGTTCTTTTTTGAAATTTACTCCAGGGAGTAAAAATCGCAATTTTTATTAATTATGTCAAACATATAGCATCTTTTTTGCTCTTTACCTTTTGTTTATTAAATAGACTTTACAAATAAGTCAAATTTGTTTTGCTTCTGTCTCTTTCTTTGCCTGAACTTCATTATCCTTAATTTATGGACATGAGTGTATTTGCAACATAAAATCAAACTACATTTTTTGTCTGTAACTAAATAAAATGAAAACTTACTTTTTAATTTAAAATTATTATTTGACTATTTGTAAATTAAAAAATCCGCTATTTTTTTTGTCTGTAACTAAATAAAATGAAAACTTACTTTTTAATTTAAAATTATTATTTGACTATTTGTAAATTAAAAAATCCGCTATTTTTTTTATCAAATTATAATTTTTTTTTACTATTTGTAAATTAAATATCCGCTATTTTTTTATCAAATTATAATTTTTTTTTTACTATTTGTAAATTAAATATCCGCTATTTTTTATCAAATTATAATTTTTTTTTACTATTTGTAAATTAAAAAATCCGCTATTTTTTATTGATTTATAAAAAATAGCGGATTTTTTAATTTACAAATAATAAAAAAAAAAATTATAATTCGGTAAATAAAAAAAAAAGTAAAATAAACTAAAAAGTAAATTAAAAATTCTGCTAATTTTTATAGAATTATAAATTATTATTCGGCTATTTGTAAATTAAAAATTCCGTATCTTTAGTGAATTATAAATTATTATTTGACTATTTGTACATTAAAAAATTTCGCTATTTTTTATTGAATTTTAAATAATAATATTATAAAAAAGGGAAAATATGCATTGCTATTCTATAATAAAAATCTGAAATAAAAATATTAAATTTTTTTTTAATATTTTTTAATATGTTTTTTACAATTTATATTCTGCATTAAGGGATTGAAAATTTACTGTGATATTAAAAGAAAAGCAAATAATTACAATAAGAAAGTAATTCAATATGTTAATTAAGTGATTAATATTCTAAATTGTATACCAGCAAAACATTTTAATACGTCAATAAAAAGGGAATTATATTATTTTTAATATGCGAAGTCATTCATTGCAATTTAAAAAGCAAACTATAAAAGATTCTGAATTATATGAAAGTCTAATTAAATATTTTCTTTTTTTATTTCAAATTTAAAGCACAGTATTATTTTTATCCTTATCTTTTGTCTCCTAAAATATACTTGGGCTTAAAAATTTCTTTCACAGAATTCTAAATAAGTGGGTCAATTTATTACATTTGCATAAATCTCATGGCAAGACTTCCTAATTTTAATTTAAATTGAGGAAGATAACGCATATCCTCCAAGTTGCTTAATTGAATAAATTTTTCATTTTAACTCGAAGAATTTCTAAAACATTAACGAAGAAAAAAAATGTAAGAGTTCAAAGAATTAAATTTAATACATCTTTTAATTGACTTCTTTTGTGTGTATAGTTTTTCTCATTAATAGTTCTCTATAGTTCTCTTCAGTACACTAATATTTAAGGATGAAATTCTTAGAGACAATAATTGTTTGATTCCACTTAAAATAATTTTTTTGACTATTTTAAGTGAAATCAAATAATAAAAAATAGATATAGATTAGATATAAATTTTTATAGATGTATTGATATAGGTTGAGATAAATTTTAAATACAGTTTTTTTATTAGACGTATAGATTTTTTGGAGGCACTTTTTTTAATAATTCATAATTTCCATTTTTATAATTATCAATAATGTAATTGGTAGTTTATAGTAAAGCTTCTCATTTTAAATTTTGAAATGAATTAATATGCAGAAATTACATTCTATTTTACTCAAACATTTTAAAAACCACATTTATATGACTTTTTAGGATTGTGGAAAATTTTATTAGGTTATTATTTATTCTTTAATAAGTACATAATAATTTTCACTCAAATTTGACAACAGATAAACAGTGTTGTGGATAGTTAGTATTAAATGGAATTAGTATTTAGTAGTAATCAGAACAACCTGCCACTCAAATCTGATAGTAGATATTCGGTGTCAGTTATAATGAGACCACATGAAATTAGCTATTGCCTCTGCGACTTTCACAGGTCGAAACAATTACAGATGGAATGTATATGTTGCATCGGGATTGTGTATTGTTGTGATACGTGTATTGTTGCCTCGGGATTGATGATTGACTATGGGCTGAGAAAGTGTCTACTCCAATATGAAATGATTAAAGCTGACCCCCCCCCCCCACGACAGAATTTCTTAAAGGAGAGAGTGTGTTCTGGGACAAGTAAGGAATTAGTGTTATTTTTCTGTGGAGTGACAAAATACGCCGGAGTTTTCATTGTTTTCAAAGTAAGCTCCTTAGGGTTTCTTGTATCGTGTCATGTTATAATTAAGTTCTGCCGCAGACCAGGTGAAATAGATTCGTCGCACACTTGAGAACTCTGAAAATCTCCGACCTTGGAGTAAACTGCACTTGCGAATCAAATTATCTTCTATTTTCATTTTTTTTTGTAAACAGAGTTCTGTATATATATATATATATATATATATAATGTTTGTAAATAAAAATTAAAGTACTCCCATGAACCCGAAGATGGCTCATCTTTAAATTGTTATTGGTCTAGTATAGGCTGAAACGTTAAACTGAATTGAAATTCCCTTCTTTCCAATATGCTAAATTGCACAAATTACCGACATTTAGATAAGTGAAAGGGGGCCTGATGACCGAAGGGCTAGCGCTCTGGCGTTCGGTACCACAGGTATCGGGTTCAAATCCCGGCTTTGCCCATGGGTGTTATAGTGGTTCGGAATCCACTTTAAACCGTAGGTCCCGGTCCTAACAGGATCGTAGAGCGTTGCAGGGGCATTGTTACTCCGCGTCCGTGGCTTACCATCAAGTTACACGCGCCCCCTGGGTAATGCAAAGTGAGTAACATCGGTGCAGCCCTTATGGCAAAGATCACGGTCTATTTGCCAGCTGCATTAAAAGGAAAAAAAAAAGACAAGTGAAAATGAAATGCAGACGATTCTAACTTAAAGTAAATTGTAGCCGGTATTAATTAATGGTATTTATATTTTTTTAACATAAGGATTAAACAAAAATTTAATTATTTCATCAATGATAAGGTTAGTGTAGTGAACTTCTTAGAAATGCTAATATAAGATCAACTTACATTACAAATTACATAAGATCAATTTACATTAGTTTCACATTTTAATAACCCAAAAATATGTTGATCCACACATTTATTCGTTTATTTTTGTTACACTTAAACATACGATGTCCTTAAAACAAACTGCAAAAATGTTTCAGCATCCAAACTAAATCAACTCGATAGAATGAAGTAAAGAAATGATAAAACTTTCTTTTTTCTTTACTCTTTACCACATTGTAAAAGATAGAAATCCAATATATTTCCACCAACAAAAAATGAAGTTAAGTGAAAAAAAACTGCGGGAGATTTTTCAAATTGAACTCGGATTGGTATTCTGGGGCCAGCCAATCAGAAAACTCATCGTTTCTGCGTTGCCTTTACTTTTTAATAGCTGTGCCAAAACTGTCATTCGAGATAGCCAATTGTCTATGATGCCTTAAGGCAATCACTGCACCGACGTTACTCACTTAGCACTGCCCAGGAGGTGCGTGTAGCTTGAAGATAAGCTACAGACGCGGAGTAACAATACCTTCGCAACACCTATTATACCTATTATCCTATTATACCGAGAACTACGGTTTAAAACGGATTCCGAACCACTACAAACACCCATAGCAACGACGGGACTCGAACCAGAAACCTGTGGTACCCAGCGCCAGAGCGCTAGCCACTCGGCCATTCAGGCCCCTATAGATCTAATATAAGCTGAGACATTGCACTCAAATGAAATTCCCTCCTTCCCAATATGGCAGATTATAACACAAATTTTCAACATTTAGTAGATAATCGAAAATGAAATGCAAACGAATCGAACTTAAAGTAATAATTTTTGTATATTGTGTATTAAGGTATTTATATTTTTGTCAATATAAGGATTAAACAAAAATTTAATTAATTAAATCAATGAAAAGGTTATTGTAGTTAACTTCTTAGAAAGGTTAATATAAGGTCAACTTACATTAGTTTACATTTTATTAAACCAAAAATATATTGATCCACTCATTTAATCCTTGTTTTTGTTACACTTAAACATACGATGTCCTTAAAACAAACTTCAAAAATTTTTCATCACCCAAACTAAATCAACTAGATAGAAAGAAGCAAAATATGATAAACTTTTCTTTTTTACTTTTTACCACATTGTAAAAGATAGAAGTCCAATATATTTCCACCAACAAAAAATGAAGTTAAAAGAGAAAAAACAACGGGAGATTTTTCAAATTTAACTCGGATTGGTATTCTGGGGCCAACCAATCAGAAAACTGATCGTTTATGCGTTGTCTTTACTTTTTAATAACTGCGCCAAAACTGTCATTCGAGATTTTTCAATTGTCAACCATGGCGTCCAATATTAGAAGAAAAATTATCGCCTTTGACTTTAATAATCTACCTCCTGGCATTGTATATTTTTCTTTCTTTATAAAAAATAACCACAGTAGTTTTAGTTGGAAACTTCTTTTCAAAAGGACTTTTAAGGTCTAAAATATCAATTTATGTTTTAACGAGTAGAGTGAGTGTAACCAACGGCCGTACCATGCTGAATATACCGGTTCTCGTTAGATCACCGAAGTCAAGTAATTCGAGGGGGGGGGGAATGGGGTTCCGTGTGCAAGAAGGATTTAGCCCCAATTACTAGTACATGAAGAGAATTAGCGGGGATGCAAATTAATAAAAAGATGGTATAACAATAATAGAATGAAGTAGTAAATAGAGCACAGGGGGAGGGGGGTCACCGAAGTCAAGCATTATTGGGCGCGGTCAGTACTTGGGTGGGTGACCACCTGGGAACACTGCGTGCCGTTGGCAAATTTGGGACCTGAATGGCCGAGTGTCTAGGGCTCTGGCGCTCGGTGTCACAGGTTTCGGGTTCGAATCCCGGCGGTGCCATGGATGTTTGTAGTGGTTCGGAATCCACTTTAAGCCGTAGGTCCCGGTCTTCTATGACTGTAAGAGCGTCACGGAGCAAAAGTCAGGCTTCTACCTACGGGTGTTCCATCAGAACAGAAGCTGCTTCCTTCCCCTTCAATCATGAGTCCATATGGGCTCGTGGGCTTGGCCAGCCAAGTGGGATAAGAAACAACAACAGAGTGAGTTTAGGTCTTTTTAACAAAAGACCAATCCAAAGTGGAAATTTAAGAAAAGCATTCTTTTTATTCTGGAAACTTTTTCTTTGCAAGTATGAATGATTTTTTTCCCCTACTCTAATAATTACTCGATAATGTTGGAATATGATAGTTGAATTACTGATTCTAGTTCACATTAAGGTTTAGTTATCACTTGAAACATACATTGAATTAGATCCAAGTATTTGAAGAAAAAATTTTTTTTAGGTGGAAGAAGGATATTTTCTTTTAATAAGGATTCACATTCTGTCCGATTTTTTTTTTTTTTGAAAAAAATAGGAAATTTCCTAATTTTTCTGTAAATTTTAGTTGTACAGAATAATTAGAAAAATGTCAAATTTTTTACATAAGTAAATTAGAAAATAGGATATTGTACATTTTTTTAATATACGTAATACTTGTCCTAATTTTTAATATGTGCAATACATATTTATATTTTTAATGTATAGAGTTTATCAAATTATTGTAATTAACTCCTTAGAGATGTTAATTAAAAGTCAACTTACATTAGTTTCCATTCTAATAATCTAGATATATTTTAATCCCCACATTTATTCATTTATTATTGTTGCACTTAAACATACCATGTCCTTAAAACAAACTTCAAAAATGTTTCATCACCTAAACTAAATCAACTCGATAGAATAAAGTAAAAAATTATAAAACTTTCTTTTTTCTTTACTCTTTACCACATTGTAAAAGATAGAAATCCAATATATTTCCACCAACAAAAAATGAAGTTAAAAGAGAAAAAAACAGCGGGAGATTTTTCAAGTTTAACTCGATTGGTATTCTGGGGCCAACCCATCAGAAAACTCATCGTTTCTGCGTTGTCTTTTACTTTTTAATAGCTGTGCCAAACTGTCATTCGAGATTTTTCAATTGTCAACCATGGCGTCGAATATTAGAGGAAAAATTATCTCCTCTGACTTTAATAATCAACTTCCTGGCACTGCATATTTTTCTTTCTTTATAAAAAAATCTCCACTTCATTTTAGGCGGAAACTTCTTTTAAAAAGGACTTTTAAAGGTTTGAAGTATCAATTTATGTTTTTACGAGTAGAGTGAGTATAGGTCTCATGTTACAATCCAAATTGCACAAGTGGAAGTTCTTTTATTTTGCATTCTTTTAAGCATTCTTTTTATTTTGGAATGTTTTTCTCTTTCAAAGTGAGAATTATTTTTTTTCCTGCTCTAATAATTATTCGATAATCTTGGAATATGATAATTGGATTACTGATTCTAGTTTACAGTAAGGTTGTAAGGTTTAGTTATCACTTTAAACATACATTGAATTAGATCCAAATATTTGAAGAAAAAAAAATGTTTTTAGAATAATTAGAAAATATCCTATTTTTTTATATAAATAAATTAAAAAAATAGGATATTGTACGTTTTTTAATATACGTAATATTTGTCCTATTTTTTAATATGTGTAATACGTATCTACATTTTTCATGTATAGAGCTTATCAAATTGTCACTTATAGTATAAAGCTTATCAAATTATTGTAATTAACTTCTTAGAAATGTTAATATAAGGTCAACTTACATTAGTTTCCATTTTATTAAACCACAAATATATTGATCCACACATTTATTCATTTATTTTTATTAAATTTAAGCACACGATGTCCTTAAAACAAACTGCAAAAAATGTTTCATCACCCAAACTAAATCAACTCGATAGAATGAAGTAAAAAAATGATAAAACTTTCTTTTTTCTTTACTCTTTACCACATTGTAAAAGATAGAAATCCAATATATTTCCACCAACAAAAAATGAAGTTAAAAGAGAAAAAAACTGCGGGAGATTTTTCAAATGTAACTCGGATTGGTATTCTGGGGCCACCCAATCAGAAAACTCCTCGTTTCTGCGTTGCCTTTACTTTTTAATAGCTGTGCCAAACTGCCATTCGAGATTTTTCAATTGTCAACCATGGCGTCGAATATTAGAAGAAAAATTATCGCCTTTTGACTTTAATAATTTACTTCCGGGCGATATATACTTTTCTTTCTATACAAAAAATAACCGCAGTAGTTTTAGTTGGATACTTCTTTTAAAAAAGGACTTTTAAGGTTTAAAGTATCAATTTATGTTTTTACGAGTAGAGTGTGTTGAGGTGCTTTGCTATAATACAAATTGCACAAGTGGAAGTTTAAGATAAGCATTCTTTTTACTTTGAAATTTTTTTTTTCTTTGCAAGTGAGGATGATTTTTTTTCCCCCCGCTCTATTAATTATTCGATAATGTTGGATTTCCGATTTTAGTTTACGGTTAGGGTTAGCTATCCCTTTAAACAAACTTTGATTTAGAATAAAATATTTTTTGAAAAAAAATTTTTTTTTTTAGATGAAAGAGGTATATTTTCTTTTAATAAGGATTCATACTTCGTTCGAATCTTTCCTGAAAAAAAATTTCTAATTATTCTATAAAATCTAATATGTTCCATGGAAGGCAAACAATTCTATAACGGCCTGGTGGCCAATTTCTTAGCACTCTGGCATTTGGTATCATAGGCTTCAAGTTCGAATCCTGGCTTTGGCATGGATGTTTGTTAGTGGTACGGAATGCATGGTAAGCTGTAGGTCCCAGTCAAATTAGCCTAAAGTGTGCAAAAAATGACCGTAGAGCGACAAAATAAACCAAACCACACAAAATCATCATCCCAATATATCCCATTCTTAATAATATGCCATAAACCAAACCAAATTTGTATACTTGTTATCTTTATCTCCTATGTATAGAACAGAATTAAAATGTATAAAAATTTGGGCTTAATATGCTTTTTTTTTGTTTCTTATCCCCCTTGGTAGACAGCAACATCTACAGCAAGTCCAAGAACCCGTATGGTATCATGGAAGGAGGGAAAGGGGGGCAGCTTTTGTTATGACGGAGCACACGTAGGTAGAAGTTTGACCCTACGTACAACGCTCTACAGTAATATTTAACCGGGAACTACTTCGTAAAGGGGATTCTGAACCACTATAAACATCCGTGGCACCGCAGGTACTCGAACTCGAAACTTGTGGCACCGAGTTCCATGGCGCTAGTTACTCGACTATCAGGTCCTGGCTTAATATTTTTAAACATTAGAATTTTTTTTAGTTTTTTTAATCATTGAGATAAATGACTTTTTTTTTTAATTCTTTATTTTTTTACCTAATTCACTCTGCAAACAAAACCCATAATAAACTCATTTTATTAAAGAGAAAATATACTCATTGTAAGCACAAAACATTTCAGTGAAACGAATTTATAAATAAACTTAATGAATATGAATGGAGCTGCTAGCATTTTATTTGGGTTTTGATATATTAAAAAAACTTATTTCCGTGCACGTTCATATGACTACAATTCGTGACTAGAATGAAAGACTTTCTCTCCGTGACTTCTTTTCAGTTTCTAACGTTTTGCTTTTTCTTACATATGAATTGAAAACTGTAAAACCAACTTCCCTGTATTTTGTTTACAATGTTAGATGTGCATAGATGAAGATGATGAGTTATGGCAAGTATAGCTGCATTTTTGTTAAAATAGCAATTTTCGTACTATAATTGGAACAGAAGGAAATCCATATATATAAGTTTAATATTATTAATTATTATTCAAATATTTGTTTGTATAAAAATGTTCGTACAGAAATATCAGATTTAGAAAACAGTTTATAAATCTGCTATAAATAAAAATGTTGCAGTTAATATAAACATGTTGTTTCTAAAACAGTTTATAAAATAGATTTATAAAATAGCTTATAAATCTGTTATATTAAAAAATTTGTTTGATAATTTTCTCTTTATGGCACTAAATTTTTAATGAATATTTGTTTAGTTCTGCTTTATATTACAATGTTATTTATTAAAAATATTATTGGATTTGGAATTTATAACATCAATATTTTTACTTAGTTTGTAAGCGAGAAGTCATATTACAAAATATCCAATCTTCTTAATTATATTCACCTAAAATAACGTCTCGATGACAACAGGAGAAAAAAATGGTACTAGTTGCTTCATATTGTCAAATATAGTAGCTTCAATTCTAGTATTCTTCTTTGTATGAATAATTCAAGTATTATTATTGAAAAGCTTGGAAATTTTATAATAATAATAATGTTAAACTTGATACTTAAAATTGCTTATTTTTTTCCATTAATTATCAATACTAATCATAAAATCAACCTTTTTTATCCTGTAATTTTAGATTGAGTACTTATTAAATATATTTAAAGAGAGAATTTGTGTCTATTAATTGGCAAAAATTAAGCATTGAAAATATGTCATGATTGAACAACACATTTCCAAAAAAATTCTGAATTAATAAACACAATGTCATATAACGTGATGTAATATGTTATAGTATTCATCTATTCTGAATTGTTTTTCCAAATATAATTCTATGGCTAAAGAATGCTGAAAAAATATATCCCAAAGTCCAGACACAATGAATGAAATAGATAATGTATAAATTCCAAGTGTCTATTAATATGACTGAGGCACAGACGCAAAAACTACATAAATATTGCTTACATACCAAAACCAACATAAACTATACTTACATTTCCAAAGCATGTCCAAACACTTTTGTCCACATAATGTATACTAGAATAAACTCCTTTATGTGAAATAAAACACCACCATTTCTCAAAATGATCGATAGAAACATCTATTCCAGTGCAT